GTTTAAAAAATTTTGCTCTCAAAAGAAATTTCAATCGTTGTACTGTTGATATTTGGCTCTGTTGACTAATGAGTTTGCCGACCACTGGTAGAGCCTGTGTCCGACGTGAGCGAGAGTCACCCAAAATCATCACGATATCACCATTTCGGCAGCTTAATCTCACTGAATCTCATGAAAGAAATTACTGTGACAATCAATGGAAATGGTCTGCTAGCCTGATCACTCTCCCAGAACCAGGGCCTGGATGCTGAACCCCAGGGCAACTAGTTTATAGCCCGTCTTTTCACCTTTTAGGGTGTTTTTATGGAACAAAATATTTTAGTTTAAAGTCATTTTTTTGTAGTTGATGCATTTTGAATGGTAAGAAAATTTTCGTAAGTCAAGGTCTAAAAAATATGGGATATTTCCACAATTGTAGAAAATTGTTTTTGGACAGAGCTGTATTTGACAGACCTAGTTACTTTAACAATTGATAGCTTGTGTTAAAGACACAATAAGCTGGAAAAGGTTAAATTCTGTAGTGGAGTCAGATTCCTAGTGATACCATTATTTCATGGCCTATAGAGAAGGAGTTTAAGATTTTTCAGGTGGCCTGATAGTATTGCTCTTGGTGGTAGTTGGTTTGCTTTCTAGGTCCTCCCGGTTAGTCCAGGCTGAGATCTCAGGTGTTAAGGGAATACTACTTATTTATAATCCTTTTCTTTCCTGATGACTGAGTGATATCAAAGTTGTTGTAGCTACTACCTTTCATAGGTACCATTCAAATATACCATGATTATTACAGTAATTTTAAACTCCACACAAATCCCAGAATTCTCACTAGAGAGATCTGACACACAAGGTAGTCTCATCAACAGAGTTATTTCACTAAAGTGCAACCAAAGTTATCTGAGTCCAAGGATCTCTATCCTGGGATCCTCGTGTTGCTATTAGGTTTTTAAACCAAATAGAAGTCAACATCCCTCAATCTCAATGTACCAATCTATACAATGAACCAATGCCCCCCTCATTCATTTCATAGGACTTTGTGAAAACTTAAATTAGTGTGAGATCTTATAGTAGTCCTTATTTGTAGGCTTTTGCTCATATAGTTTAATTTTGGGGGTGTTCAGGAAGGCTCCTATGGAAAATTATCTTTCAGAATGAAATCTTACTATTAAATTATCTTTGTGTTAAGCATCGTCTTCTCCAGGGTATCACTTTTGTAACAAAATATTCTTCATTTGGAATAAGTCAGATTACTTTTTTGTGTGTGAACAAAGAGCATATATAAGATGGAATGTACCTTTTAAGGATGAAAATTTGCATACTTTTTTATATGGAGACTGGAGGGTATGCTTGTCTGATAGTATTACTTTGCAGTTGACAGTAGTAGGGCAATGTATCTTTTGACTTTCTAGGAGTTGTGAGATACAGGTTACAAATAGTGCTCCATGATTATTTAGGGGTCAAATAATTTCTTTTTTTCCTTTCTCTCTGTTGCTCACCATCTGACTTATAATTGAAGAGAAAGTCCCTTGAAGAAGGTTCTGACCTTGGAGATCCTTCCTACCTTCTTTGGTTCAAAAGTTTGATGGGGGAGTTATATACATTTGGATACTTTATTAACATATCAAAGCTCTACCTGCCCTTCCTTCCTTTTCAAAACCAAACTAAACTAAATTGTTTTCTTTTGTTATGTTGTTTGTGGAGAATTTTAGCATCAGTAATTCTATTTACTTAAGGTCCCCATTTTAGATAACCCATGGCGACCCATTGAAGTTATGGTTCCTGGACTAGAAATGAAGCCTATTTACAGTCTAGTATACTTTCAGATATGTTGCTATTTTCTTGAAATCTCCTTTTTCTAAATTTTAAGCCAGCTAAACCACAAAGATGTCTAGCTTTCAATCTTTTAAGCCACGCCTCTTCCACTCCCTCTGCACCCAGTCTCCACCCCCTTGCTTTTTAAAGCCCTGCAATTTGCTGCTACCGCCATATTTCTTCTTCTCCTGAGGTGGAATGGAATCTTGCTAATGAAGATGTCTTCAGCCATGTGGTTCTTTCTGGAACATTTTCCAGCGCTCAACCACTCTTTATGGCGCATTTCTTTTAGAATATTCACCAAAATTCTATAAAATATTTTGAAAATTCTAAACTTTCTTCCATCATTTTATTGACACCTCCATATTTTTTAGGTATTTGGGATATTTTTATGACATTTTTCATTTTGAAAAAATTTTTCTTTGCAACAATTTTTGGTTGAGTCCTCTGTTTTATGATTTAGTTCTCTATTTCCTCCACTTTTCTATATTTTGCCCATCAGGGTTGCGGATACCTGATTTTATTTATTTACTTTAAAAAATGTGCCCATCGGGGCCGCGGATACCTGCTTTTAATTTTTTTCCCCCCCTTAGCCCATCGGGGCCTCGGATACCTGCTGTGTCCTCCTTTTCCCCAAACCACTGGCCCACCGGGGCCTAGGATACCTGCTTTTTTTTTTTTTTCTTCTTTTTATTGCCCATCGGGGCTTCGGATACCTGCTTTAATTTTTTTCTTGCCCATCGGGGCCGCGGATACCTGCTTAGATTTTTTTTTTAATCGCTCGAAATTTTGTTGTTTTCTGTGGTTCGTTATACTATCTGGAATGTCTACAAATTTTTGCTGCTAATCTTTGGTGTTGTGTGAGTGAACCTACAGCTTTGGCTGGGAGATGACTGCAGTTAGGCTAAGGGGTTCGTTCGGCTGGGGAGGAAATATGGCGGCAATGGCGGCAATGGCGGCTATGGCGGCGGGACGACTCGAGGTTTGCTTCGGAGCTCAGCTGATGGTAGTTGGTTGTGCTTGGTATAAATTAGAGAGGCAAGATGCCTGAGCTAAGTATTTTGAATTACCTAATTTGCATGCATTGTGGTCTCCTGAGGTAGAAGAATAGGATTATCCTGTGCCGCATTACCGGAGGCTAGTTGAAAATGAGATCGAGGAGACTTACAGGGAGGGGCCAAAATGGCGGCTTGACTTTCGGTATTGCTCAGCATGGCTGTCTGCTTTGTTAGTGTCCAAGATGGCGGGTCCAATTTAGCGGGAGGCCACATCATGGTAGTGTCTTTGTTCTAATGCACAGCATGGCGTTGGAAATATTCTGTTACATGGTGTAAGATGGCGGCTCAAGGACCTGACGCAGTGTTAAACATGGCGGACTTATGTGTTTGCGGCATTGCCGGACCAGTCATGGCGGGCCGTTGTCTTCGCAGCAAGCATTTCCGGACAGGTTTTGCCGCAGGGGCATATAAGGGCGGACTTGTCTTGTGGTTGAGGACATCCTGGTGTTTGCGCGGGCTTTGCTCCTGGTGGGGCTGCCGCATTGTTAAATATGGCGCACACTTCCGGCTTGCTGCAAAAAGTGAAAGGTGGGGTGATCTTTGCCGCCTGCCCCATCCAATCAGATGGGGTGGTACAATTGGGCAGCCAATTAATGGAGTATGGAATTAGACCAATCTAGCATGGCTCCTGGCTGCCATCTTTTCAGGAGGCAGAAGCCGAGGGGCCACTTACATAACATCTGCTCCCAGTTGGCGGTGCTCAAGGTCTTTCCAAGGACATTTGGCCTTTCCAGCTCCCTCCCCTCTAACCGGCTCCCTCCCCTCCAGCATTGCCTCTTTGCTCTCCGCCCGGTGGGCCAGGCCAGGGCTCCATGCCTGCCACGTGTAAATATGGCGGTGAGTCGTGGCAAGGACCAAAATGGATCTTTGGCCAACAGGTGGCAGAAGAGGAATCCCTCCCTTCTTCAAGAGGAACACCTACCCTGTGGCTAATGCTGGGGTTGGATTTTGATTTCTACTTATTTCTTGGATGTCAGCCATAAATAGTTCAATTATGTGGTTTGCTAGGGTGATATTTAAGCCTCAAATGACTATTATGGCATTGTTTGTAGACTTCATTTCAATTAGATTTAATAAGCTCCTTTTGGGGGCCCTTAAAGTTTTCAATTTCTTTTTTATAAAAATGGCATACTTATTCATATCCAAAGTCAAATAATTTGGCGATAACATTTTTCATTAATCTTTTTTACTTTGAGATTGACTTAATAAACTACTTCAGTTTGGATTTTTCAAGTCTTCTTGCACATAAACAGTTAATTAAAAAGTTAACTTTATGACTGAATATAAAAAATATTTGAAGGTCCATTCCACTTCAGGCCTTGCTTTGTTCCCATCTTTAATGCTGCACTAATTGACTGTCTAACCTATCAGACAGATAACATGAATTGCTGTGGACTTGTTTCCTCTATTCAAACTTATCTTGGAGTATTAAATGCACACATAATAAATATTGTGGTGCTCTGCCTCCACAGTCCCCAGTTCCTCCCCACCCCTGCTCTCACAACCCCTATATCTAGCCCCAGCCCCAGCTCTCCCCTTCAGCCCTGCTCCCTCAATCATATACTGTGCTGACCACCTAAAGTCTTTGCACTGAGTGAAATTTTGATTATCCATAATTCTGCCCATCATATTATATTCCAGGCAAAAACACCTTTGTATTAATCGTGGACGCAGAAAAAACCCAAATCTTTTAGTCCTGTGCAAAAAAAAACCAACAAAACAAACAAAACAAAAAGGAATCCTACCCCATCACACTGTCTAGGAGTGAATATTGTTCAAGAACTCAGCTCTGGGACAATTTGCACAGTCATAGTTATCTGGAGTACTGTCCATTTAAAAGGTCCAGGGTAGCCCTAACCGGTTTGGCTCAGTGGAGAGCGTCGGCCTGCGGACTGAAGGGTTCCAGGTTCGATTCCGGTCAAGGGCATGTACCTTGGTTGTGGGCACATTCCCAGTGGGGGTGTGCAGGAGGTAGCTGATCCATGTTTCTAACTCTGTCGTTCTCCCATCCTCTCTGTAAAAAATCAATAAAATATATTTTAAAAAAATAAAAGGTCCAGGGTATCTCATTTGGTAGGTATAACGTGGTCCCATTACTCAAGGGTTCTTCTTTTTAGTTAATATATTATCCATACTTGAATTTGCAATCATGTGCAAAATTACAATCCCCAATAACTCCCTTCTGTTAACCTCTTTCCCCTTCCTAACTGCATTACCACAGAGGATTCTTCAGACAGTTAATGTGCTTATATGCCACTACTGTTCTTATCTTACTTTGGAACCCAGGGATCCTCAGTTTGCATTAAAACAGACTCCTTGGGGCAGTCAATGTTCTTAACTGCTACTACTATCTTTTTGTTACTATAGATTACACCCATCCTCAATTTTCATTAAAATAGAAGAGGGTACAAGGGGCAGTTGATGTACTTAAATGGCACTACTGTCCTTATGGTACTGTAGAACCCATCTAATCTCACTTTGCATTAAAGCAGTCCTGGGGCGATTAATGAACTTAAATGCAACTAGTGTCATCTTTATGTCACTATAGAACCCATCTATCCTCACTTTACATTAAAACAGAAGGTCCTTGGGGCAGTTCATGTGCTTAAATGCAACTACTGTGCTTATGTTACTCTAGAACCCGCATAGCCTCACTTTGCATTAAAAGAGTCCTTGGGGCAGTTAATGTATTTAAATGCCACTACTGCCTTTTATTGTGGAACCCACTCATCCTCACTTTGCATTAAAGCAGAGGGTGGGGAGGGGCAGTTAATGTGCTTAAATACCACTACTGCCCTTCTGTTAAGGTGGAACCCACCCATCCTCACTTTGCATTAAAACAGTCCTAGAGGTAGGTAATGTACTTAAATGCCACGACTGTCCTTATCTTACTTTGCAACCCATCCATCCTCACTTGGCCTTAAGAGAGGGTCCTTGGGGCAGTTAATGTTTAAATGCCTCTACTGTGCTTATGTCACTATAGGATCCATCTATCCTCACTTTACATTAAAACAGGGGGTCTTTGGGGCAGTTAGTGTGCATAAATGCCAGTACTGTTCTTATGTCACACTAGAACCCATACTTTGATATTGATTTAAAACAGTGCTTGGGGCAATTAATGTGCTTAAATGCCTCTGGCCATTATGTTAATGTGGAATCCACCCATCCTTATTTTGCATAAAAACAGTCCTTAGAGGCAGTTAATGTGCTTAAATGCTACTACTGTTCTTATCTGTCTTTGCAACCCACCCATACTCACTTTGAATTAAAACAGGGTGCTCAGTGCAGTTGATGTGCTTAAATGTAACTACTGTCACTCTACAACCCACTTTGCATTAAAGCAGGTTCCCTGGGGCAGTTAATGCATTTAAATGCCACTACTGCCTTTTAGTGTGGAACCCACTCATATGCACATTGCATTTAAAGCAGAGAGTGGGGAGGGGCAGTTAATGTGCTTAAATGTCACTGCTGTCCTTATGTTAAGGTGGAACTCACATATCCTCAATTTGCATTAAAACAGTCCTAGAGGCAGTTAATGTGCTTAAATGCCACAACTGTTCTTATGTCACTATAGAACCCATACTGATTTTGATTTTGATTTCAAAGTCCTTGGGGCAGTTATTGTGCTTAAATGCAACTACTGTGCTTATGTCACTATAGGACCCACATAGCCTCACTTTGCTTCAAAATGGGGTCCTTGGGGCAGTTAATGTGCTTAAATGCCACTACTGTTCTTATGTCACTATAGAACCCATTCACACTTTGATTTTGATTAAAACAGTCCTTGGGGCAGTTAATGTATTTAAATGCCACTATGGCCTTTTAGTGTGGAACCCACTCATTTTCACTATGCATTACAACGTGGTCCTGGGGGCACTTAATGTACTTAAATGCCATTGCTGTCCTTATGTTAAGCTGGAACTCACATATTCTCACTTTGCATTTAAACAGTCCTAGAGGCAACTAATGTACTTAAATGCTACTACTGTGTTTAGGTTTGTGTGGAACCCACTCATCCTCACTTTGCATTAAAACAAGGGGTCCTTGGAGCAGTTAATATGCATAAATGCCACTGCTGTCCTTATGTTAAGGTGGAACCCACCCATCCTCACTTTGAATTAAAACAGAAGTTCTTGGGGCTAATGTACTTAAATGCCACGACTGTCCTTATCTTACTTTGCAACCCACCCATCCTCACTTTGCATTGAAACAGGGGTCCTTGGGGCAGTTAATGTCTTTAAATTGCACTGCCATCCTTATGTTACTATAGAACCTATTCTCACTTTGACTTGGATTTAAAACCGAGTCCTTGGGGCAGTTAATGTGCTTAAATGCAACCACTGTGCTGTGTCACTATAGGACCCATCTATCCTCACTTTGCATTAAAGCAGAGGGTGTTTGGGGCAGTTGATGTGCTTAAATGCAACTACTGTGCTTATGTCACTCTAGAACCCATAGCCTCACTTTGTATTAAAACTGAGTCCTTGGGGCAGTTAATGTGCATAAATGCCACTACTGTCCTTATTTCACTATAGAACCCATACTCACTTTGATTTAGATTTAAAACAGAGTTCTTGGTAGTTAATGTGCTTACATTTAAATGCCAGTACTGTGCTTATGTCACTATAGAACTCATGTATCCTTACTTGGCATTAAAGTAGAGGGTCCTTATGCATTAAAACAGGGTCCTTGATGCAGTTAATGAGCTTAAACTGCACTGCCATCCTTATGTTACTATAGAACCTATTCTTACTTTGACTTGAATTTAAAACCGAGTCCTTGGGGCAGTTAATGTGCTTAAATGCACTACTGCCTTTTAGTGTGGAACCCACCCATCCTCACTTTGCATTAAAACAGGGTCCTTGATGCAGTTAATGAGCTTAAACTGCACTGCCATCCTTATGTTACTATAGAACCTATTCTTACTTTGACTTGAATTTAAAACCGAGTCCTTGGGGCAGTTAATGTGCTTAAATGCACTACTGCCTTTTAGTGTGGAACCCACCCATCCTCACTTTGCATTAAAACAGGGTCCTTGATGCAGTTAATGAGCTTAAACTGCACTGCCATCCTTATGTTACTATAGAACCTATTCTTACTTTGACTTGAATTTAAAACCGAGTCCTTGGGGCAGTTAATGTGCTTAAATGCACTACTGCCTTTTAGTGTGGAACCCACCCATCCTCACTTTGCATTAAAACAGGGTCCTTGATGCAGTTAATGAGCTTAAACTGCACTGCCATCCTTATGTTACTATAGAACCTATTCTCACTTTGACTTGGATTTAAAACCGAGTCCTTGGGGCAGTTAATGTGCTTAAATGCACTACTGCCTTTTAGTGTGGAACCCACTCATCCTCACTTTGCATTAAAACAAGGGGATTTTGGAGCAGTTAATGTGCATAAATGCCACTACTGTCCTTATGTCACTATGGAACCCATACTCACTTTGATTTTGATTTAAAACTGAGTTCTTGGTTATTGTGTTTAAATTTAAATGCCAGTACTGTGCTTATGTCACTATAGAACCCATGTATCCTCACTTTGCATTAAAGTAGAGGGTCCTTATGCCACTGCTGTCCTTGTGTTAAGGTGGAACCTACTCATCCTCACTTTGCATTAAAACAGAGGGTCCTGTTTAAATGCCACTGCTGTCCTTATGTTAAGGTGGAACCCACCCATCCTCGCTTTGAATTAAAACAGAAGTTTCTTGGGGCAGTTAATGTGCTTAAATGCAACCACTGTGCTGTGTCACTATAGGACCCATCTATCCTCACTTTGCATTAAAGCAGAGGGTGTTTGGGGCAGTTGATGTGCTTAAATGCAACTACTGTGCTTATGTCACTCTAGAACCCATAGCCTCACTTTGCATTAAAACAGGGTCCTTGGGGCAGTTAATGTGTTTAAATGCCACAGCTGTCCTTAGGTTAATATGGAACCCACCCATCCTCACTTTGCATTAAAACAGGGTCCTGAGGCAGTTAATGTGCTTAAATTGCACTGCAATCCTTATGTTACTATAGAACCTATTCTTACTTTGACTTGAATTTAAAACCGAGTCCTTGGGGCAGTTAATGTGCTTATATTGCACTGCTGTCCTTATGTTAAGGTGGAACCCACCCATCCTCACTTTGTATTAAAACAGTCTGTGGGGCAGTTAATGTGTTTAAAGCCACAGCTGTCCTTAGGTTAATATGGAACCCACCCATCCTCACTTTGTATTAAAACAGTCTGTGGGGCAGTTAATGTGTTTAAAGCCACAGCTGTCCTTAGGTTAATATGGAACCCACCCATCCTCACTTTGTATTAAAACAGTCTGTGGGGCAGTTAATGTGTTTAAAGCCACAGCTGTCCTTAGGTTAATATGGAACCCACCCATCCTCACTTTGTATTAAAACAGTCTGTGGGGCAGTTAATGTGTTTAAAGCCACAGCTGTCCTTAGGTTAATATGGAACCCACCCATCCTCACTTTGTATTAAAACAGTCTGTGGGGCAGTTAATGTGTTTAAAGCCACAGCTGTCCTTAGGTTAATATGGAACCCACCCATCCTCACTTTGTATTAAAACAGTCTGTGGGGCAGTTAATGTGTTTAAAGCCACAGCTGTCCTTAGGTTAATATGGAACCCACCCATCCTCACTTTGTATTAAAACAGTCTGTGGGGCAGTTAATGTGTTTAAAGCCACAGCTGTCCTTAGGTTAATATGGAACCCACCCATCCTCACTTTGTATTAAAACAGTCTGTGGGGCAGTTAATGTGTTTAAAGCCACAGCTGTCCTTAGGTTAATATGGAACCCACCCATCCTCACTTTGTATTAAAACAGTCTGTGGGGCAGTTAATGTGTTTAAAGCCACAGCTGTCCTTAGGTTAATATGGAACCCACCCATCCTCACTTTGTATTAAAACAGTCTGTGGGGCAGTTAATGTGTTTAAAGCCACAGCTGTCCTTAGGTTAATATGGAACCCACCCATCCTCACTTTGTATTAAAACAGTCTGTGGGGCAGTTAATGTGTTTAAAGCCACAGCTGTCCTTAGGTTAATATGGAACCCACCCATCCTCACTTTGTATTAAAACAGTCTGTGGGGCAGTTAATGTGTTTAAAGCCACAGCTGTCCTTAGGTTAATATGGAACCCACCCATCCTCACTTTGTATTAAAACAGTCTGTGGGGCAGTTAATGTGTTTAAAGCCACAGCTGTCCTTAGGTTAATATGGAACCCACCCATCCTCACTTTGTATTAAAACAGTCTGTGGGGCAGTTAATGTGTTTAAAGCCACAGCTGTCCTTAGGTTAATATGGAACCCACCCATCCTCACTTTGTATTAAAACAGTCTGTGGGGCAGTTAATGTGTTTAAAGCCACAGCTGTCCTTAGGTTAATATGGAACCCACCCATCCTCACTTTGTATTAAAACAGTCTGTGGGGCAGTTAATGTGTTTAAAGCCACAGCTGTCCTTAGGTTAATATGGAACCCACCCATCCTCACTTTGTATTAAAACAGTCTGTGGGGCAGTTAATGTGTTTAAAGCCACAGCTGTCCTTAGGTTAATATGGAACCCACCCATCCTCACTTTGTATTAAAACAGTCTGTGGGGCAGTTAATGTGTTTAAAGCCACAGCTGTCCTTAGGTTAATATGGAACCCACCCATCCTCACTTTGTATTAAAACAGTCTGTGGGGCAGTTAATGTGTTTAAAGCCACAGCTGTCCTTAGGTTAATATGGAACCCACCCATCCTCACTTTGTATTAAAACAGTCTGTGGGGCAGTTAATGTGTTTAAAGCCACAGCTGTCCTTAGGTTAATATGGAACCCACCCATCCTCACTTTGTATTAAAACAGTCTGTGGGGCAGTTAATGTGTTTAAAGCCACAGCTGTCCTTAGGTTAATATGGAACCCACCCATCCTCACTTTGTATTAAAACAGTCTGTGGGGCAGTTAATGTGTTTAAAGCCACAGCTGTCCTTAGGTTAATATGGAACCCACCCATCCTCACTTTGTATTAAAACAGTCTGTGGGGCAGTTAATGTGTTTAAAGCCACAGCTGTCCTTAGGTTAATATGGAACCCACCCATCCTCACTTTGTATTAAAACAGTCTGTGGGGCAGTTAATGTGTTTAAAGCCACAGCTGTCCTTTGGTTAATATAGAACCCACTCATCCTCACTTTGCATTAAAACAGAGGTTCCTTGGTACAGTTAAATGCTTAAATGCCACTACTGTCCTTATCTTACTTTGCAACCCACCCATCCTCACTTTGCATTGAAACAAGGGGTTTTTGGAGCAGTTAATGTGCATAAATGCCACTATAGAACCCATACTCACTTTGATTTTGATTTAATACAGAGTTCTTGGTGATTATTTTGCTTAAATTTAAATGCCAGTACTGTGCTTATGTCAGTATAGAACCCATGTATCCTCACTTTGCATTAAAGTAGAGGGTCCTTATTCCACCACTGTTCTTATGTTAAGGTGGAACCCACCCATCCTCACTTTGTATTAAAACAGTCTCTGGGGCAGTTAATGTGTTTAAATGCCACAGCTGTCCTTAGGTAATATGGAATCCACTCATCCTCACTTTGCATTTAAACAGGGGGTCCTTGGGGCAGTTAATGTGCTTAAATGCCACTTGTGTCCTTATGTCACTCATAGAACCCATAATTACTTTGATTTAAAACAGAGTCCTTGAGACAGTTAATGTGCTTCAATGCCACTACTGCCCTTAAGTTAAGGTGGAACCCACCCATCCTAACTGCATTAAAGCAGAAGGTCCTTCGAGAAGTTAATGCGTTTAAATTATGCCACTACTGCCTTTTAGTGTGAAACCCACGCATCCTCACTTTGCATTAAAACAATCCTTGGGGCATGTAATGTGCTTAAATGCCAGCACTGTCTTTTTCTTACTTTGCAACCCGCCCATCCTCTCTATGAATTAAAACAGGGATCTAAGAGGGAAAAAACACAGAGGGTCCTTGGGGCAGTTAGTGTGCTTAAATGCCACTATGGAACCCATCTATCTTCACTTTGTATTAAAACTGAAGGACCTTGAAACTGTTACTCTGGTAACTTGTATCCTCCCATTCCTCTGCATTGCCTGAGAGCAGATATGTTATTGAAATGTGCTTATTTGGCTGCTGTGGCACCTTCTTTTTGTCTCTTTCCATTTCTTCCCACTCCCTTTGCAGTATAGCAGAGGGTACTTGGGCCTGTTAATGGGCTTAATTATAGGATTCCCATGCACTCCTAGGCAGTTTGCATTTAGACATATATTTGGTTCTGTGAAGTTGCCTAATTGCAACAGTGGTCCTTTTTGTCTAGGTTCCCAATCCACCTCGTAGCCCTATTACAATACCTGGATGGGCATTTGGCACTGTCAGTGTGCTCAATTGAAGTTGTGGTCCCTTCTGTAATTCCAGGATCACATCCTGCCTTTTCCCTTTTCATTACCTAGGAGCGTTTGGGGACTGTTAAAAGCCCTTGGAGCTACTGTCCCTTCTATTTGTCTAAGATTCCATCCCTCCCTCCCCCATCTCACTTGGCATTACAACAGTGACTGTTGTGCTTAATGTGCTTAAAGGCAGCTATAGTCCCTTTCCTTAGTCTGGGATCCATCCAGGCCCTTAAACATCTTTTGCATTACCATAGAAAGTACTTGGGACTGTAAGTGTGGTTAAATGCAAGTGTGGTCCCTTTTGTTAGTTTAGGAACATGACTTTTCAGTTTCTTTACATCATCTGGAAGTCATTGTAGATAAAGTTCTAATTGTAGCTGTGGTCCCTTTTGTCAATCTAAGATTCCTTTTTCTCCTACTTCATTTGCATTACAACATAGGGTTCTTGGAACTATGAAGGGGTGTCTTGTCCTGTCACATCTATTAAATTTTACAAAAGAGGATCTGAACACCAAAACCCCTTCTTTTGCACCGTTAATGTGGAATATTGCTTTTGTCCTTTCTCCTCTGCAGTAGATATAGGCCTCACTCATTTTCCTTATATTCAGCAGTGGATGCCCTTTACTAAGGACCTTTGTACTTAATATAGTTAAAAGTGAGTCATAGTAGTTGACCACAATTATGTCTTTTATGAAAGTGGTTGACCCTCTTCATTTTACAAGAAGGCGTATTAATTACCTGTTACTTGCCTTATGTTAGAATAGCATCCCATTTCCTTGCCCCATTTATATTACTGCAAGGGCTTCTGACTAGCCAAGATTCACTCTCCTGGACTGTTAATGTGCATACTTACATTTGCTCCTGTACCTGTACAGCAGGTAAGGCCACTCCCCCATCATATTTATACTCTAGCAGGAGGTGCCTACTACTAAAGACCTTACACACTTATGCAGTTAATGTACACAACTTTTATCTTGTACACACTCTCAGTAGTCCATAACTGTGCCTTTTCAATCTCTTGCACTTATGGAAGCAGAGGTTACTGACCTTAAAGCCCTCTCTTGGGACTATGGATTTGTTTAATTAGTTGTCCATAATCTTTCGAATTAAGATGGGTTCCTGACTCTTCACACCCTCTTTGCTTTACTGCATGGGGTACTGTCCACTTAAGGCCCCTTTCTCAAACTGTTAATGTGTATAATAATTACATTAGAATCCTTCCTCTGATTTCAATCCCTTTGAAATACCAGAGGGATTCTGACTCTGAAGGACCCATTTCTTAGCTCGTTAATGTGAATGTGCTTGTCTGGGTTTCTGTGTACTAGACAATGACACCTCCTCTCCCTATTCCCTTTCAGCATTGAGTGCCCTCTGCACAAGACTGTTAACGCTTGGACAGTCAAGGTGTGAAATTATAGTTGATTACAGCCTTACACCTGGGACATTAATGTGTGTAATTTCACATGGCTCATCCCATTTGAATAAGATCCTATATCCTCTCAGACCCTTATTATAGTATAGCAAGGGTACTGATCACATGAAAAGGTATCTTTTCATGGCTTATTGTGCATAATTGCATTTGTACATGTTCTTGTACACCAGATAAGGACACCCCTCTCCTTATTCCCTTAGCCTTTTAGCAAAGAGTGCCCACTACTTTAAGATTTTTATATTGGTACAAGGTACAAGGTTTTAATTAACTATACCATATCCCTTGGACATTAATGTACATAATTTCAACTTGGTTCATCCTACCCTATTGCTCTCCGTTGACAGTATACCATAGTTGCTGAACCCTAAATCCCCTTTACTTGGCCTATTAATGTGCGTAATTGCATTTGTCTGGGTTCTTGTTCACTAGACAAGGACACTGACACACAACATACCCCCAACCTCCTTTGCCTTCTAGTAGGTAGCACCTACTATTGAGACCTTTACATTTAGACAGTTAATGTGCAGAATTGCTGTTTTCCATATCCCCATCACTTCCAGGACTATTGTACCTCCTTTGCACTATTGCAGGGGATACTGTTTTTTCTCCAAGGCCCCTTCTAGTGGACTGGTACTATACATATTGAAATTGTCTATTGTCTTCATTAGTAGACACACACACACACACACACACACACACCCCCGCCCCACCAACTTCCCTTTGCAGTACAGCAGAGTGCTGATCAACCAAAGCCCTCATTGGACCTTTAATATCTGCAGTTACATTTTCTCCTGTTCTCTGCACTAGATAAGCGCATCACCTACTTCCTTAGCATTTTCATCAGACAGTGCCCACTACTCAAAAGATTTGTTCACTTGGAAGTTTCATGTGCACAAATATAATTTTGTAAGTAAATCTTATATCAGAATGACTGTACCCTCCTTGCTTTAAAGCAAGGAGATGCTATTCAACGGGCCCCTCCCTCCTTTTTACTTTAATGTATAATTGCAATTGTCCTTGCTTCTGTTGGAGTAGGATTGCATCTCCTCATTCCCCCCTTTGTATTAGGGGCATATTAACTATGAATGAGCTCTTCTATTGAGATTATTAATGTGCATAATTAATTGTATTTGTCTGTGGGCCTATGCAGTAGGAAAGGTGCTGTGCTCTATGCCCTTACCACTCACTGCCTTTGAATTACTGCTGACCTCAGCTCTCGAACATTTATCCAAAGTTCTGATTATTATACAGGACCCCATACTTTCTTTGTATACATCATGTATGACCCCTTCTGTTGGAATAGGATACCATTCCATTATACCCCCTACGCATTACTGCGGGGGCTGCTGACCACACAAAACTTCTGCAAATGTTAATAGACACAATGGCAATTAGCAATGGGTTTGTCCTCCCTGATCTTATTAGGTAAGCACTCTCAGCCCCAATTTCTCATGGCATCATAAAGTGTAAACATTGCAGTATGCCCTTTAACTTGTCCTTCAAAGAGCAACCCATACTCCCACTCCTTTTGCAATGCTCCAGGGCATACATTTCCAAGTAGTCATGGTCCTACCCTTATCTTCCCTCTCCCTACCTCTTGCCTGTCCTTGGACCCTTCTGTGGACCATTAATAATCACAATTTCAGTTGTCCATGTATTCAGCCATTAGATAATATTGTGATCCCTCCTGCCCCTGCCCGGCCCCGCGCCCCGCCCCACCTCATCCCGCCCTTTTGAATTGCTGGTGGGGAATGTTGATTGGGCAAGGCCCTTTCACTTGGGCTTAAATGTTAACAATCCCAGATGTCATTGGTTTACCCAGTTTATATTGCTGTGGTGCTTCAGTTGCACTTTACTTGGTCCTGCCCATCTGACATGGACCCTCCATTTCCCTTTTTGCATTGCTTTTCAGTAATGCTGACTACCCAAAGGCCCTTCTGTGTTTTTACTCAACACAGTACTGATTGTCCCATTTTTCAACCCATCAGCTCAAGACCTCCCTACCACTTTGATGTTGTATTTGTGCAGTGTTGTTTACCAGCAGGCCTGAACTAGGTGGATGGGCCTTCACTCCTTTTCTTGCATTTGTTAATAATCTGAATTCCAATTATTGTCCTATTCTTGGGACAAGAGTTATCTCTGCCCACCTCTGTTACTGCTTTACTGGGCAAAATGCTCAAGGCGAGGCAAGCCCAAGGAGCTGATTGCCACCCTTTACATTCTGGATTTTTAACACACACACATATATATATCAGTTGAAAGTTGTCTCCCCAGGAAGGAAGGTTAACACTATCTCTGCATTTTTCCTTCCAAAGCAGGTTGCCTGGCTGAGAATCTCTCCTCTTTGTATATTGCTATTCTACAGAGTCAATTGCCAGGATACAACCAAAAGTTACCGCTATTTTTTATTAAGAAAGACATCTGGATTGCAAGGTGGAATTGATAAACTGGGCATTAAACTTTTGAAGTTAAAAACCCATTTATACCATGTACCTGATGACCAGTGTCTCTCATTTTACTAAGGGTGGTGGGTCTGTGGATAGACCACTGTGACTCTTGCTATACTAAAGGAGTTCAAGAATGGAACTCTTAAAGACCAGTATCTTTGAGCTCTACCACCATTCTAAAACCATGCCATTTGGGTTTTACCACCATTCTCTTTTAGAAAAACTACCTAAATTTCCTAATCCTTAAATTTCTTCATCTGGAACACCAACCAGCCCCTACTTATTTCAAGAAGATAATAACTGTAAAAGGATGAAATGAGACAACATATACTGAGGTGCTTTTGAAAACCAAAGTTCACCTTATTTGATTAATCTATTACATAATGAGGACTTAAAAATGATGGGACCTGTTTCCCTGTTTTATATCAAAAGAACAGTAAGCTAAGGTCTAGCCATTCTTCCGGATATAAACTTGTTTGACAGTGCGCTGCCTGGTAAAAATGATTAGCCTAGCCTCTAGTGTACAGGTTTTGGTGGCAAAGAAGTATTTAATAAGGAACTACTGAAGCAAATAACTAGTCATCACAACAGCAGTTCTTTGTAATCAATGAAAAAGAATACTATTCCTCTAAGAAGGATGTCAAAAGGTCATCCCAGGTCAGGGTGCAGTTTATACTTCCAGCTCCTTGGACAGCTGTAAGAAGAGTCTCTGGCTCTTTAGAATTCTGTAAGTACTATTTTGTAGTTACTAAGTAATCTTTCCCCTGTTCTGTTTTCTTTTAGATGCTACCCAGAGGTTTCCTGTTAAGTCTCTTTTCCAATTCTCACCTCATCTGCAAATATAGTCTCACCATATGAGTGAACCAACAGAATTATAAGAATTAATATTGTGTACCTGGTCCTATGCTAGGTTACACCTAAGTGAGGTTTAGAAATAATATAGTCCTATATATATATAATCTCATCCCATAGATGGTAGTATTGTTGAGCTAATATAAGCACACTTGAAATAATTTTAAGAAATGATAATCAAGTGCTGTCTTGTATGAATTATGTTAAGCTTTTATAAAGGGAGCTCACCAGGGTTTGAGGTTGACAGGGTAAATTTAAAGAAGGAGTTGGGTTTACTTCTTCTCTTTGGTTCAGGATATGATTAATATTGCAGCCATCTGGGTAGTCCAGTTGGTTTATTTAATGCCATTTGGTTTTTACTTCCTTTGGAGGCATGGAAATTGATTAAAGAGATAAGGCTCAGTCATTGTGTTTGGCTACATGCCAAATTGTTGATTGTTAAATCTCATATGTTTGAGCTTTTCAAGGTTCGGGAATTGGGGATATAAATCTGATATATTGGCTCTTTGTACCTTTTTATTCTATCTCTGCCCCAGAACAGATGAGAGTAGCTATGATGCCTTTTTAGTTTGGCAAGAGGGCAATGGAGAAGCATAACTTTTCTAAGGAAGCCATGACCTTGCCTACTTTATGATGAAGTTAATATACCTTCTTCCTCTTTGCCTTTTTTCAACAGGTACCTTGATAAGCAAAAAAGCTTAGCCTCCCTGATATAAAACAAACACAAACATGCAGCTGAAAAATATTAACATCAACCTTGAAACATTTTTTGTTCATATCAATATATCCTAGCAAGAACAAGAAGAATCATAATGTGCTGGGCTTCTCTTACTGCCCATTTTAATTCATATCCATATTTCCTCACAGCTAAATGCCTAAAGACATTATTTGTCTAACTGACTGGGAGTAATATACAAATATTCCTGAGCCTTTTTGGAAGCATGGTCTGTGCCATTGTTTCTCAAACTGAAGTTCCACAGGAACAAAATTCTTTGAGATAATAAAGAACATGTGTTTTGAGGAACACTGACTTAAAGTTATTTGAAATGTAAACATGTTTCCCTAGTTCAATATATCTTTGTGAAAGATTATATATATATATTATATATATGTGTGTATAATATTTTATATGATCTATGTAGTGGGGGATCCATGAGGTCCACAAACCTCCACTGTTATTATCACCCCAATATGAGAAACACTGGTCTATGCTTAAGATATTCTTTATTGCTACTAATTAAATGATCATTCAGTGTTAATATATAACTATAAATATTTATTGGAATTTGTTTTAAAGGGATGAATTCTGAGCCAGTTCTGAACCCCTACTTAGGAATGATGGGTCAATTGTAGATGGATTGAAATCTGCACTAGGAAGCATCCAAAGGTGAATTTTGAAGTTGTTTTTCAATTCATTGCTTGAAATAAAATCTCTTGTAGCTGTAAAAACATGTATTCTGGCCCTATCCAGTTTATCTCAGTGGATAAAGCATCAGCCCTTGGACTAAGGGGGTCTCGGGTTTGATTCTGGTCAAAGGCATGTACCTTGGCTGCAGGCTCAATCCCTGGACTGCAAATGGCAGTTGGGGTGCATGAAGGAGGCAACCAATCTATGTGTCTCTCACATTGATCTGGGGAGACCAGAAAAGTTGTTTCCTTTTAGGTATTTTAACTAGACAATATAAATGGATTTGGGCTTGGATTCATTTTAAAAGTTCTTCGGGGAAAAATTGTTTCCAGATGGAGTGTCTATTTACCATTATTAATGGGGTTTCAGGAGGGAGCACAGTAAATGTGTATAATGTATAAATGGACACCTGTATTTGGGGATGAAGTATCTAATCTTAGGTTAAATAAGGATGGGAAAGGATTTTCAAAGAGATTTTGGAGCTTGTTCTGTTCATATTGAGAACATAGTTTATATTCTGTTCATCATAGAGTACCAGTTTGGATTTACTGGACATTTTATCTAGAGAATATAGAGTTGAGTAAGTGATCTTTCACTTACTATTAGAATTTGTTTGATGTTGACAGAAAGTTCCTTATAAATATATGGCAATTCCTGATTAGAAATCTGGAAGTCGTATCTGATTCTTTCCACATCATACCACACTATGCAAAGTACTTTCAAGATTGCAAACCTGGCTTATACCTGCCCCAGTGAGCTCCTATCTTATAGTAAAGACAGCTAACTAAATATTAAAAATAGTCAAGGCAATTGTATACCTCCAGGCAGTAGTAGCAGTTTCTCTGTTACATTGCATCTTGAAGTATTTTCAGCAAAAGCATGACCTTTAAGCCACAAATTTAGTCACCCACAGGTGGGTATTGGTTTGACCCATATTTTCATTTAGTTCTTTTTTTTACACTTGCCTAACCTTCAGTGATACTACCAGTGCTTGCCATTAATAGGACCTTAGGGAGACTGTACAGGAGAGACAGGACACACTTATATCTAATGATTCAGGTTCATGCTTCCTAGGTTTTTTTTCTATGTTGTTGAGACTTTCTCAACCGTTTTTGGTATCCTATCCTGCTGAGGCCTGCTCCCCGCCCCGCCCCCCCCTCCCTCTGGATAGGTGAGACCTGAGGACTACAAGAAACTCTAAGAAGCTCCATATTCAGTACATCGTTTCTTTTGAGAATCTGGACAAGCTCCAACTAATTGAAGGATGACTTGCAGACCACCTGAAGAAAAAGGTAGTTTGAGGAGTTTGTTGTGGTTATTCTGTCTTTGGCTTTAAGGACTTTAACTTCCTGCAAGAGCTCCTTTTTAAAACAGAATAGGAGCCAGTTTCAAATCCTACAGATTATATATATATATATACACACACATTTTGACTTTACAGAATGAATTTGGCCTATTATTTCATTTGCCCTTCAGAAGCAGGCTCCAGTGAGGTCTATAACAGCAAGCATACTTGGTCTCCATTTTATAAATAAAGAATTAGAGATGCAAAACAATAAATTGCTTCATTTAAAATCTCATAGCTACTTAGGAGAGAGAGAACAATCCTATGCCTTCTGATGAACAGGCCTCAAAAATTATTTCTACTTTCCTTTGGCAGATGGTACTAAGTGCTAAGGATTTGTTAATGAGTAGTACCAATGTGATCTGTCATAGCCCTATTTTGGCAGACCTAATTTCATTGTCCCTCTCATTCCCTTATTATTTTAAGAAATTGAGGGTTTATTACTTGAAATTACTAAAAGGTAGAATAAGAGACTCAAGGTCCTGTGTTAAGCTATTTACCAGATTCCTAGCCTTCTCCACCTTGTTTTTCCTTTTGTGTAGATTTCCTTACTTGCCATAACAACTAAATATACATATCGATTTCAGAGAGGAAAGGAGAGGGAGAGAGAAATAGAACATCAATGATGAGAATCATTGATTGGTTGCCTCCTGTATGCCCCCTACTGGGGATTGAGCCCTCAACTTGGGCATATGCCCTGATCAGGAATCGAACCGTGACCTCCTGGTTGATTGGTTGACGCTCAACCACTTGAGCCACACCAGCACAACTGACGTTTTATATCACTGTAATGATTATTGGTTTCTCTGAATATCCTGGGACTCTGGTGGTGTCCCATCTATGTAAGCTGTTCAAGAAATGTCCCATGTAGATTGAGTAGAAAACAATTTTTTCCATTGGTAGTGCTCCAGCATCTGACTAAAATGAATTAAGAGAGGAATCCTGCCCAACCGGTATGGCTCAGTGGTTGAGCGTCGGTCTATATTGATTTCAGAGAGGAAGGGAGAGGGAGAGAGAGATAGAAACATCAATGATGAGAGAGAATCATTGATTGGCTGCCTCCTGCACATCCCCTACTGGGGATTAAGCCCACAACCGGGAATGTGCCCTTCACTGTAATCGAACCTGGGACCCTTCAGTTTGCAGACTGGTGCTCTATCCACCGAGTCAAACTGGCTAGGGTAAAACTATATTTTAAAAGAGAAGAATCCTACAAAACTAGGTGAGAGAGACACTTTGTGGTAAATTGTTCAGTTATTAAGAGTGTTTTATAAAAGAAGCCTGAGGCAATATGAAGAAGAGTTCTTGTAGAACTCATAGGATCAGACAATATTGGAGCTTTTCTAAGTAGCCTGATAGCTCTTTGGTTGAGAAAGCTTTATCTGTTCCTTCTATTTTCAACCCCTTGATTTTTTTTGTCTTTTCACTTTATTTTATGGTGAGAACACTAGAACATTAATAATCCACAATACAGAAGACTGCTCATTAGTAGAGACTGGAGAATAAAGTACAGTATGGGAATTTTGGTAATAATTCACCTCTAAATTTCTCTTTGTGATAAGGTGAAATTCAAGGGAAAAGCTGGAATGAGTAGTAGAAGCATTTGCTTTTCTCTAGTCTGGTAGCTAGAATATAGAGCTCTCCACAGTTCTTAATCTCTACCCCTCAATTCACATGGAAAAAAAGGGTAGACTTCACTTAATCTAATTATTAGTTGTTCTTTGAGACAGACTTTCCCAGTATACTGCATTTCAGTAATTTATTTTTCTTTTATCTCTTCTCCAGACCTTCCTTAGAAGAATAGGCTTGTTGCTTTGCAGTGTTAGTGACCTATTCCCTTTGACGATCCCTAGGTGGAGATGGGGCATGAGGATCCTCCAGGGGAATAGCTCACTACCACTGGGCAACAACCCTAGGCCAGGAGGTTCTACCAAGATTTTTTCCTGTGCCCAGATAGGAAGGTGAAGTCTCAAGACATCCTCCACACATCAAAGGTGGGTAAGCTGTTCCTAAAAGCACAATAAAGATACTGTCTTTAATGTTTCAGTATACATTGCATTTAGATTTCCACTGAAATTATTTTGATCATTATGAACTGTGTCTGCTTTGGTAACAATAGCTTCCTAACTCACCTGGGAAGCAACTGTGTATGAGATGGGTGAAAATGGTGATGTGAGACAGGCTGATTGATTAGGTGGCTGCAGGTTGGGAGATGGTCCAAGTGTAGTAAGTCCTGATTGTAAAGGACAAGACATTTTCCTGTTTATGGCATAGTTTCCCATTCTGTGAGGAAGTTGTATTAGTTTTACCTCTAAGGACCTAAACTTTATACATTTCTAAGCTCTGTAGAGATAGTTTCTATAACTCATAATTTGAATCTTCCCATAACTCTAGTGAGTACTCAGTTAATACTTCTTTATGCATATATATAGTTTCCTTTGTTATTTTCCCCCCTTTTTTTGTAGCTCCTGATGGTTCCCTTTATATCTACCAAATCGTTCATCCTTCTGAAAAGCAATCCAGAGAGCAAGAAATTTGAACACAACAAAGGAAGATCAACATGCCTGGCACTCTAGCATTTTAGAATAGCAGAATAAAGTAAGTTGTTGGTGTTATAATCATGTGAGGACCTGTTTGGAGCTAATAGCTGTTTGTCAGAGGTTTTTGTGCAATGGGCTATGGTGGTTTTTGTGCAGGAGGGGCCTGAATGTGAGATGGGATAATGACCAGTAACCTGCAAAGGCATACCCCAGAGATACTACAATTTGGTTTCAGACAACCACAATACAGCAATAAAATGAGTTGTTAGCTTGTTGCTGGTAGAGGATGTTGTAAAAAATGCAACATCTGTGAAGCACTGTAAAGCCAAGTGCAATAAAATGAGGTAAGTTATGCCTGTATTGCCAGCTGGGTTCACTGAAGCAACTTAATGATTAATTAGTCTATACCAGTTGTGTTAAGGTTAGTCTCACCTTATCTGTTCTTTATGTTTACTGCATAAATTCTTTGCCACTCTTAGAGGCCTAAACATAAAGAAACTTAGAACAAAATTTTTGTTTTGTTGCTGAAAGGGTGGCCCCTTTTCTTATATCATCTTGTGAGAGAATGTATTTGCAGTAGTGTTAAAGGAAAAGCAAGAGTTATAATTGTGATGGGTGGGAAAATCAACTTAGTTTTCTAAAGGGGTGGGAAAGGACGAAGATAAAAAATGAGAGCATTGACTAGGACCTCTTAATGGCCCTTTATATTAATATTCACTCACCTGTGGCATCTCATTTGGCTTTTGGAATTTCTTATAAACAGTTGTAGTAGAATATTAAAAAGGCACACATTCTGTGTTTAAATCCTCTGCCACTCATGTTGTTGTTATTATAATTGTTAATAGTGATATAAGTAGTATTGGTACTAATCATAGCTTATTGTAGTTATTAATGTTCTTTTTTTGTTTTCTTTTGTTCTCTTTGTGATGTTTCTCATAGCTGTTGTGCCCCTCACTATATCTTATGTCTGCCTGCCTTATCTCTTTCACTCATAAGTGTGTATTTCTTTGCTTATCTATTTTTTCCTTGAATGTCTTTGGTCTTTGTTCTCTCAAGTTTCTTACCCAATTCCATGATCCTCTTGCTTGTTTCTTCTCTGTGTATCTTTGTCTCATTTTCTTTCTTGTTCATAAGAGTTATTTGTGCCTTCTCTTAGATGGCTCTCATTTTTTTCATTTTGTTACTAATTGTCTTTGTTTTCCTAGCTCTTGCTCTTCTTTCACTGTTCTTCCCATTGTGTCTCTGAGTCTCATGCTGTATGCTTTTTGCTCATTCCTTGTCTTGTCCACATCTTTTTTTCCCTCTTTGTGAACTCTTGGTTGTTCATCATTCTCTCCCATTTTGTTAGACATTTTACCTTTTTCTGATTCTGGCCTCCTTTCTGCTGTTTCTACTCTTCATCTTGGATTTCTCTCTTCTACATGTCCTTTCTGCCTCTCTTGGGCCATTTTCTTTCCTTTTTCCTGCTCTATGTGCCTCAGTGTCTCTTTGTTCTTTGTGTCTTTCTATTTCACCTTTCTTCTCTCTGTTCTCTTGTTCTTTTGCTTTTTCCCTCCACCCACCTTTGGGTACTTCAGCCTCTTCATGAGTCTGTGTCTTCCCCTTTGATTTCTTGCAATCCTCTCTCCATGCATATTTTTTTGTATATGTGTATGTGTACATCCATGTGCGCATGTTTGTGACAAAGGGGTTTCCTAACCCCTTCCCAATAGGTGCAGAGTATCTACTATCAAAATAAGCATTGCAGAGCTGTTCCTTATGCCAGGCCGTCCTGTGAGATAAATCCAAAACTAGTAGAAGGCCGAAGGATCCAAAGACCTAAGATGTACAGAAGGTGGAAGGCCCATAATGGATATAATTCCCAACACAGAAGACAGAATTGAGACCTGTGGACTAAAGTATAAAACCTGTGTCCCAAGATAGATGGAAACCTCAGCCTTGAGACCATCAGAAGCCCTAGAGCCATTATGTACATAAAGAAGATGGCCCTTGTCAGATAACTGAGTTGGATGCAAGTCTTGTGTCTTGAGTTAGACAAAAGGCTGAAGACCCAGGATGAAAGAACCAAGCCTATGAGTGGGGATACATGGAAAGCCTGAGACCTGAGTCACAAGACCTGAGATTTAAAAAACTTAGCTTGAAGACTTAAGACCCAAGGATATGAGGTGTCACACACACATAAAGACCCAGGAGTCAAGCATCTCTATGTGGACTTGAAAGCCCAAGAGAGACCAATATCTTAAGACTAAATTAAGCTGGAGTTCCATGACCCTGAATCTAGGAAGGCTGGAAACCCCAAGACCAGAGGAAGTCCCAATATGAGGACCCTAAACCTCTATTCTGCTATCCTCCCTACCCTTGGATATTTTCAGTTCTTCCTTTCCAGTTTTTATATCTCCATTTAAGCCCACTAATTTTGTGATATCCTTTTTGATTTTGTTATTACCTTGAGGAGCTATCTTGAGATTGGCAATATAATGCCTGGGCCAGTGTAAGGTTCTTTTTATTATAGTTTTGAGTCATTTATTAAGTTTTAGGTATTTTTTTAAAGTTTATTTTTTTTACCTCCACTCCGTTTGAGAGAGACATATCAGTGAAATTGTATTTCAGTCCTCCCTTTTCCTCAGAAGCTCTAGGCTGATGAGAAGAGGAAAGTGTCAGGCTATGTAGAGAAAATGTGAAGAGATGCCTCAGGCCAATGTGAACATTTAGATAGAAAATACACAGATGTGCCAGCCTGCTGAGAAGGATCAGCCAGTAACATGATTTCTTTGAGCTTGAGTGAACAGGATTCCTGGGGTTTGGGATTCCTAGTGATGGTTAGAAAAAAGAATGAGTAGTCCTGGAACAGTGATGCCCCAAGGAGACAGCCTGAACTCCCTGCTCATAGTAGTGGCCTAATAATTTGGTAGACTACACCAACCCTGCCCTAGGCTTTAATATCAACCTCTGGGCTTAAAGAATGCAGAATTTGGAAGTAATCAGGTTTAAATCTTTCCTTTTTCTCCCCCTTATCATGAGGAAAGATAATTTAAATAACTGAGATATATATGAAAATAAGGTGTATTGCCAGCTATGCACAGCTAATATGTATTATAAGTACACTGTCAGTTTTGAAGCATTTTGTACATCAGGGATCATCACACTCTTTCTGTAAAGGGGAAAAGGTAAATATTTTAGTCTTTGCAGGCCTATGGTCTCTACATTTCACTTCCCCCTACCGCCAATCCTTTAAAAAGGAAAACTATCTTGTTAACCAAGTCTGTGGGCCATAGTTACCCCTGATGTAAATGCTGAATAATATTAATTTCCTTGTGTGAGCCTGTCCCTGTTCTAGGCACTAAGGACTCAGTGATTATTTATCATCACATCCAGGTGACCTAAATAAAAATGTGTGAATATGCTTTTAAACTATGAAAGTGCTTAAAGACGTATTAAGTTTCAGAGCTGATAAATATTGATTACATATCAACAGTATGTAATACTGTGTAGATAATAGAAATTAAGTGATTAATCAATGAAAATTTCATATATTTGTAGCCGTGTTTCTGCTGCTTTGGTGATTTTGAGTAAATACAGTATTCCAGGTAGCAGAAAAGAAAACACATAGAAACTGCTTTTAAACTGTAAAATATACAGCAAACACAAGGGATTAAGCTATTTTGATGACTTACAATGGGCCAGATAACTTGCTAAACACTACAGATAACAGAAAAAAAGAATCTCAATATAGAATTAAAATTTTCAGATAAGAAATGCATTTTAAAGTGGTTTGTAAACTAAAGTACTAAATATCAATGAGCTAAATGTTATGAATGAATGAATGAATATTAATTGCCTTTTATGTGCCAACTATTGTTTTGGGTTCTGTGAAATCTAAGGTAAAACTCCCAAGTAATAAGAGGGAGGTTTATATTGTGCATTATTTATATGTGAGGAAATTAGATAATGCTTATTTTAATCAATCAAGACTTTACTGGTAATATCAAGTTATTATTACCAGTATATTTTCCCAGATAACAGGAAAATGTAATGAATGAGACTGAGCTTTCTAAACTATAAAGTACAATATAAATATGACATTAGGTATTTTCTCTGTGAATAAAATTTTTCGTGAGATAAACATTCTTTATACAATTCACCCACTATGAGAGAGGCAGTATAAATAGTTATGCAAACTTGAGGGTTTGAATACTTGTTAAATGAAAGCATATCAGTTGCCTACTATGTGAACTCACTGTTACAGGCACTAAAGAGATACACACATTTATAATTTTATTGTGCCTACAATTGAGAATAAGGCAATATGTTAGTATATGTTAGTATTTTGTGAACTCTAAAGCACCATATAAATGTCACTATTGATTTTTCTCACTTGGTGCAAAGTACTATAAAAATTTGGAAATATTTGAAGTATTAACTATTGAACAATCTGAATATAATATGTAAAAGATTAAATTTATGATGAATGCAAGACTGGGTAATAATTGTCTACTATGCCAGTCTTTTTGCTAGGCACCAAGGACCTGAAGATAAAACATCTTTATTGTGTCCTTGATAGCCAAACATAATGTATGAAGTCAATTTATAAGTCTTGAACTGGCATACATATGTAAGCAATATGTTTTATGAATATTGATTTTTTACTCTCATCCCCAGAGATAACAACTAGTGTTGCAAAAATTCATCACCCTAATTATTGAACCTGTAACAGAGGTCTATGTGTAAATTTAGAAAGCCTAGTGTTCTATATAGATATAAGGAATTAACTGTTGGCTTAATGAATGATGAATGATTACTTTTTATGAGGCTTAAAACTACATATGCCCTAGTATATAAATACAATTTTATCCTCATGGGATGCTTATAGAAGGAAATAATGTAATAGGTGTGAGCTCCAGACTAAAAAGTACTTAACTACTGTTAAGCTTATTTAATGATAAAAACATTGAGAAAATAGAACTGTGCAAAACAGTATGCTAAATGCTGAGCTACATGGAAAAATACAATCCAGACCAGAAAGCTACTTGCTCCCTCGCCTAATTAAAGAGATGGAATTTTTTTTTTTAAAAAAAGCAAGCTGCTCTTGTTCTCCATCAGTTTTTTAAATGCTGAATGCTAAAGATGGAGGTGAATTAGCTCCACCTTGGCCTGGCTTAAAGATATTTAAGAAGTAAAAATAAATGGCTCAGCAGTGCTTTTAGATTTCATTTGATAAGCACAGCATATTTTGTGTGCAATAAATCATTCTAGGTCCTGAGCATAAGAGCAGTGGAATGGGCCTAGTCTAAAGGTCTTTAGATTGAACACAGATCATAGCTGCAGATATGAAAACATCTTTGATTTTTTTATTTGAGTGCTTATTTTCTGGGAAGTACTATGCTCATTTAATGAGTCGAGTAAGTATGGCTCAGAAATCCCATTGACTCACCTTGGAGATTAAAGGGAAAAAAAAGTCATGGTCCTTTTAATATATTTTCCCTAGTTCTGGATAGTCTCAACTTCACATGCTCAGTGACCTAAATTGAAGCCAGAAGACTGTTAAAAGGGCTCAGGATTTGTCCTTTAATTCATTAATTTAAGTTTCTGCTTCTATTATAGTTTAAGATAAGAATTAAGATGAAACAACTGGTTTTAAAAATGTTTGCTCATTGGCCTAGCTTAGAATCAGGAAGCCACTTGAGCAATAAAAATGATTTTTTCTATAAACATTCACTCTGAATAAAGTGCTGAGAGAATTAAGAGATTCCAAAGACCAAACTGCACTTTCATGTCCTCTAGCTTATGGTTGAAACACCAAGAACAAATTTTATCACTGCAGGTCTTTCATTGAGCAGCTGTGATATTAAGACACTGAGACGGAATGATTAAATAGATCACCTTCTCTTTGACATGTTTTGTAGAGTGGGAACGAGAGCTTCCTACTTATTCATTCATACAAACATTGAAGATGATGCTAAAAGAAATAGATCTGATACAAATGGCATTTATCTTATAGATGCAATAAAAAACAAGGAATGGGATAAAACATTAAACAAGTGTCTATTTGCAATGTGCTAATTTCTAAACAGAAAACGAAAAGATCTTAACTAAGACACTTGTTTTTAACTAGCTTGGAGACTAGAATATAAAAAATTACTGTTCATTCACTTTTTTTCATTTATTTATTCATTCTACAAGTATATTTGAGTGCCTATTTTATATAAAGTACTTGTTAGGTTCTCACTTGGCCCAAGAGATATGAGAAATGTATGCTTTCCCAGAGAAATTTTAAAAACTTTGCTTTTGGGTTGTTTTCTTGTTAGGGGTTGACTTAGCCCCTAAGTAACATTGTGTGGTTTAATTCCTACTCCATATTTCTTCTATCACTCTGGCCACTACAATAAGCAGGGTTTTCCACTGAGATAGCTCCTTAAGTTCCAGGAACCCTCTTTATAATAGACACTTCATTTTCCTAGCTCATGAAAAATGATTGGCCACTGTTGAATAGAAGAAGGGATGACAACTAATTCCCAAACCACAGTGTCAATCATACCAGCCTCGGGGAACCATGCATACTCAAGCCACAATTGGTTTTGAAACATTTAACAGTTTTGTCTATTTTCAATTCTTTATCCTTTACATTCTGACAAATATACACTGCCTAACTAGATCTGAGGAACAATCCCCAGATAGTACATAGCAAGATTGAAGATGGAGACATGATTTCTCTTTAACAACAGATTTTGACTTAAACTTTAGAAATCGCCTCTCAGTATCAAAACCATGTCATGAAAGGACTTATATATGGTAGAATATGGTCAGTGAATGAAAGTGGCTTAACAATTTATCATGCTTAAATTTTAAGAGTAATAAAAATGAGAAATAATTGGCAAAAATTTGAGGGAAAAATTCAAAAAAAAAAAAAAAATAACCCAAACCTCTAAATCCAGGCCCCACTGGGCTTTGACCTTTTCTATTTTTAAATCACTCACAGAGGGTGGGATAGGAGGAAGAGTGAAAGAAAAGGTCAAACCTGTTTCTAAGGGCAGCCTGCCTTTTTTTGGATTGGTCTTATGAACTCCAGGTCTAACTTGAGGATTGCTTTGTCCTCATTCATTTCTTTTTTTTGGCTGAATGATGATATTATCAACTAAGCCTTGGGTTACATAATGATGTGATTTATCAATTAAATCAATTTGGCCTCCATCATAAAGCAGTGTTAAATCTAAAGGCTAATTTCACTGTAAAGGAAGAGGACTTCATAGTTCACTGTAATTTATAATACTTTAAAAGCATATATACTTGAGTTTACATGGCAAGCCATTTAACATGCATAAATGGAGAAGAAAATGTGGAGGTAGCACATTTGAGAATTTGGGATGATTTTTCTGATTTTTGCTTTGTACATTTTAATTTTGACATCAGATACATCTGTAATGTTTGACTTTTAATATGTGGTATCAGCTGGACTCAGTAGCACTCTTTTCTTCAGTTGGGGGTGGATTTTCATATTTGGAAAGTGCAAAGAAGAAAGTAGCTACAAGCCTGCCTTTTGCGGTTTCTGGCATCCTGAGACTACCACTACTGATAAAACAAGAATAAGAGAACATGCTACCATCATCTGTTTTTTTGTGGCATAAATAAAGTAGTAAACAAATCCATTTTTATAAGAATGTACTTATCTCCACTCTTCAACCTCAAAGGGAATATATGCCAAAATGCTCCATTAAATGAAAGAAATTCTTTGACTTGTGTACAGATGTGAAATGCAGAATCTCAGCCTTGGGTGGTTTGAAGATTGACAAATCTTGCTCAGCATAGGTGACATCAAAAAGCAATCTAAAGCCATCACATAACAACTGAGATAAATTGGGGAGTATTTTTTCTAATGTCAAATAAAAGCTAATGTTTTGAAAACTTTGTATTTTGATGTGACAAGTTCTGCCTCATTGTCTCTTCACACATAATATCCTTTTGTTTTTCCTTTCACTACTTTGGGTGATTAAATTTTTTGTGGTCTTATAATCAGACAAACAATGGGTCCATGCTGCCTGTCTACTCGAGCCAATGAAGCAGAGACAGGGTTGAATCATATATGAGCATTTAGTCCAAAACTGCTGGCACCAGCAGTATGAGAGAGCAGCAGCTTAGCCACAGAAATCTGCTCTGCAGCTCACCATAAGTCAGTGGCTTATATAGGAAAAGCACAAAGGAAAAGTAGGCGAAAGGGCAGTTCACAGAGATGCAAAAGGACTAGGGGTCTTCAAAGGGCTTAGTGAT